AACTTTTCAACTTTGCCATTTTTGCTTGATATGAAAACAACAAACTTAGATGTAACTTAGTGACATTCAGACCTTCCTAGGCTACATTACCATCTCTGGCCAATGCAGTTATTGAAGAATATTGGCCAGTACTTTTTACTATAATAAGATAAGAAAGATAAGGCAAATTAAGTGACATTCTCGCACTTCCGGAAAATCACAATCTTATGTTCATCGGGTGGATAGTATTAATGATAACGGAACTTTTAACCTAATTGGAAAAGAAATTGCTGGGCTAGGAGTAGAGACAATCCAATCCTTGAATGGATTTTAAGTCTTCTTCCTTGGCTATACCAATCTTTCACTGTTCAGAAATCCCAAAAATGCGTGACATAATGAAGAATGACAAAAGTTTGTTAAACCTTTCGAATTGCTTTTGAAAATTTCTTTGCTGCTGTTATCTTTTCTATATTTGTTGACGTAAAATAGAATGAATAGAATGAAAAAGGATGAATAGATTATAATGCTTGGCCCATTATAGCTTGTCTCACATTTCTTTCTAGCATTCACAAATTGGCGTATTTTGATGAGGCCAAACAGGCATATGGGAAATTGCGCCATTTGGATCACGTTAATTACACGTGCGCTGCATGTACGACGTTTCCAAGCACAACTTTGAGCTGCCAAATAAGAGTAAAGCGCAGAATGAGAAGAAAGATTGGTGATAGCAATCCAACGAGCCATGGCACCAATATGTTGATAACTGTAGATCATCGAAATAGAAATGACGATGTGATGGATCACGTGAAGGATATTTGGTTTACGTCCATCCAATATCACAAGTACCGTATCCAGTAATTCCCAGACTTTGCTGATATGAAATGTAAATATTGCCCTACCCGATCTTGGATTCTTATAAAGCCCATCATTCAGACATAAACTTGAATAGAAGCCTTCATGGAAAGAACTTAAAAAATCAGGTAATAAGCCAAGAAGCAAAACAATATCAGCCAAGGCATTGAAAGCATTCCAATAAAAAATGATCGTTGCCAAGCCTTGGCTTCTTTTTCCTTTCCAAATTCGCGGCATATTGAATACAAACAGCGTATATGCAATAAAGAGAAGTATAAAAAGAGGACGACGTTGTTGTATCCATTCTATCGACAATTGCGCATCATAAGTTAATGGATCCCAGCGCATATTTTAATTAATATGAATGTGAAAAGTGGATGGTAATTTCTATTGGAATGGAAGAAACGAATTGCGCCGATTTGCAAAACTTTGATAATTACAATGTACTGCTGGCCGCTTATATGAAAGGATTTTTATGAATTTA